GTAGATTCATTGAGTCAATGCACAAGTCACAACGAAACTATTATATGATGGGTTTTTTTTAGGGGTTTTAATGAAGTGTTTAATCTTACCTAATTAGTTGGTGCGTGTCATCATCAAAAATATGTTAAAATTTCTTCTCAATCACCTTTTCACATTGGATCAAGAATATCATGCATATACAGTATGGTATTTTCTGAAGTTTGCTAGTAGAATAATCATAATAAATGTGTTATTGATTGATGAAAAAAAAATGTCCCTACCTATCTTACAATCCCTTAATACGGAAATTGATTTCTTTTTGCATTAATTGTCGAAGTGTCAGTTACAAGACATTGCAGTATTCATTAATGCACATACACTCAAAAATCAAAACATAATTTCTTTAGTTTTGATCACTTTAATGTAGCGTAATTTTAATTTTAAGTAGCTTTTATCCACTTTTCTTTTTTTGATAAGATTACTAACTACGGACCTGTAATCGTTTTCAATATTTGGACTGCAGTATTTACAATTAGACCAGTTTTTATTCTAATGGTTATATTTGTTAGTTTTATCTGACAGGCTACAAATACAAAGATGACGAGTTCAGCAGTCTTCGAAAATGATCGCCTTGATGAAGTCATCCAAAAAGCAAAAGATTTTGCGCTTACCCATGGTCTTATTAAGCCACTTGAAGCCGGTGCTGTTAGCAGTGCTGTTACTCATATCTCGTTTTTGCTTGCGCCGTTACCTATACCTCGGCACCTTTTCGAGAAAATGCAAAGAGTTCAACTTGATTTTAACAAATTGATGTACAATGTTAGCCAAGATTATGAATTTATATGTAACGCATTGAAAAGGTGAGAATTTACATTAATAAATAAAACCAACCACTCAATTAATAATAAAAAATTAATAATAATCATAATAATAATAATAAATACAATAGCAACAACAATACCATTAATTACAATTGTTGTTTTTATGAATATTATTACACAGCAATATTGTACTTACATTCGACTGAATTTAATGTTTTTGTTTTTTTCTTTGTTTTTGTTTTTTTTGTTTTTTGTGGAATACTGTATTGATGTTTTTTAGTTTTGGCCTCAATGTTATATATATTCAATATTTTTTAATGTTGTTTAAATGTGTTTTTATTATATTATAATATCGTAAGCTTTGTGTAATTGTAACTACAATATTTTCAGTTTGCTGCCCATTTTCTATTTTGATATTTATATACTTTACCAAAATAAATAAATTGTGTATGGTTGTGTAATTTCACTGTTCCCTGTTTCAACCAAGTGTTTCTGTAAATATGATTATCTGATCAGATTGCACGTCTTATGAATGCCATATGGATGAGAAAAAGAAAAGTCAAATTAGAACTTGGTATAGGGAAAACAGTATAAAGGAAATGACAATTATTGATTTAATTTGAATAACTAATTGATTGACTAATCAAGTATCAACATCAACCACTCTTAGTTTAAGGGGTGAAATTCGCCGATGATCACTACCGTCACTGTGGCCCAACGTTCTTGTTGTACATTCTATCATCTTTGCACTGATCTTATTCCAGTGTATTTTAAAATTATATATGACAAACATATATTCTATAGAACACATATATAATACATTATATATTTGTGCTTATTTTTCATCAGTTCACTTAACTATGATGAGTTTACAAGAGATTTAGTTGAGATATATCATAAAGTTCATCAAAAAAAAATTAAAGACGTAAGTAAATCCTACGGTACCACATTAATATTATTATTTATTTGTAGAGTCTGACCCTCCAGCATATCCTAGAACGTCAGCTTATATCCAGGGCCGTCAGTATAATATATACAACATATTTTATCAAGATGACACAATCAGTTAACAATATACCTGTTTTTGCATTGTGGTCCTGAGAGCCAGGTTAACAATACTTTCTTATACAAATAAAAAATGTAGAAAAGTGAAAGATAAAATACAATGGACGAAACGAGTTTGGTTTTAAAAAAGTGAATTGACTATGACAATGTTATGTTTACAGGAAATTCTTTCCATATTTTGGCATTGGAGCTAAATAATATAAACAAAGCTCCACTATGGTGCGGGGTGTGTTTAATGCTTTGTAAAGTCTGCTTTATAAAGCTCACCTTTGGGAGTGGAGATGGTGTTTTAGTCGTGAGAAAAAATCCTGTGCTGTCGCAGAATTGGAATTCAGGATCCAGGGATTATAGAAAAGCAATGATCTTAACTGCCAAGCTACATCTCCACTTCTAAGCCTAATCATTTTAATGGTATTCATTAGAGATAGTGTTTATAAAACTAAACAGTGCCAATTATTAAGCCGTACTAGTTTACATACTGAACATATGAATTTCAGAGAGGAATGCTCGAGATATTAAGATGCGATTACATGCTTGATAGCAAGAATAATGAAGAACAATTTAAGCAGATTGAAATTAATATGATTGCTGCTGGAATGGCTTCAACGTCAGCGATACTAACACATCTTCATAGGTTTGTATATCCATCTTCGTTATTTTTGATACATCCTGTAATTATGAAGGCGTATTATAATATTAGTAAGTTATCTAGGCCTATGACATTGACGACATAATAATTGTTTGTCAGCATTTTAACCGAATTATTGTTTTATTCAGATATACCCTAAGATTATCGGGGAACTACGAAGGAGCGAACCAAGTTCCAGACAACCTGAGTCTTGAGGGAGTAGCCACTGCTCTTGTACGCGCTTGGGAAGTGTATGGCCAGCCAAAGTAAGTTAACATGTTGTGACTGATAGAATTTATTCAGTATCAAAACAAAATTAAATAAGAAAATTAATACATGTAGTAGAAACAGATTTCCTTGCCTTTGCTCACTGGTGTATTTTTTGACGCAAACTATGTTGAGTCAAATAATACACGGTTCACAATTTTCACGCAACACATTCACATCACCTCGGTCCTCGTTGTGTGGTTGGAGGTTTGCATTTTTATTTTGTAAATTATTCTGTGATCTATAAAAAATTAAACCATAATGGTAGGCCTATAGTAGGTAGGTGATTTTTTAATTACCAAAAGACACAGCAATTGCTGAATGCCAGGCCAAGTGTAGGCTAGGTAGGACCAGACCCGGTTTCACAGCACTACACCTGCTGTCTCTTATACACATCTAGATGTGTATAAGAGACAGATATATATATACACCATATATATAATCATTTGAAAGTAACGTATATGTAAATACATATTACCTTTCCTGTATCCTTTTGCTGGTAATTAAAGATTTTTAAATAAAATGTCTGTAAGTTTCATCGTAAAACATTGGAAGTTTAAGACATTCATAAGTATAAAATTGCTACCGAGCACCCAGAAAAATCTTTGCTAACCTTAATCCCAGACATGGGGGAAATGGGGGAAGGAAATGAAGTGGGTATGGCACCTATCCCCAGCTAACTTCAGATCCTGTAATTGCACTTGGAGGAGGAATAGAGATACCGGTAGCAGCTTTCAGGGTATCTAGATGTACTATATCTAGATACCTCACACAAACCACATCCAACCATGGTTAGTTTATAAAATGTATATTAATGTTTACAGTGCTTCGATCTTGCTAGTTGCCGAGCCGACAGATGTGTGCTGCTACAATCATCGTCATATCGAGTTTAGCGTTCATGAAATTAATCCGCAAATATCATTTATGAGGACGAGTCTTGGAGATATTGGAAAGCGCGCCAGCCTGGCAGACGATCAGCAACTAATAATGTAAGTCATATTTGCATATTTTGCAATTGTTTGTGTGTATATTTGTATCAAACCTTATTATTAATATGTTATGCAATTTTATTCTAAACATTTTCAAGAAAAAATGAACAATACAAAACAACATTTTCTTAGACGAAAACAATCATAAATAAATACTAATTCAATTAAGTTCCATATGCAAAGACTAGTAATACAGTAGTATGACGTTATCGACGACCGTTATTTTCCGAGAATTTTTCTCGTTTTGAGGTTTATAAAGCTAATAACTTATTAAAATATAGAAATTAAGCATTTCATTTCTTCACTTTCAAGTTCACAATTGATGTAGGTGGATGTTTATTTTCCACATTGAGTATCTTCTGTTTCAGGGATGGAATTGAAATAGCTGTTGTGTATTACCGTACGGGTTATAAACCAGCGTTTTACAAGAGTAAAGTGGTAGGTACAGTATATTAACTAAAGGAATTACTTACTTATACATGTAGATCTACTAGTACATAAAGAAAAGGTTTGGAATTTTTATAGAACATAATTTTAATGTAAATTATATTGGCGTTTGGGCCTACAGTGGCGCGGCATCAGAAAGAGTGACAAAAGTGCTTTCCTCTTCCCTAGGCAGGAAAACAATCTAGCCAAGCGTGATTAAATAAGAGATTAATATTGCTGAAAATGAATATAGCTGTGCTCATTGGACGCCACAGAGGTGGCGCCATGATACAAAAACTTATGCCCAACATGCCTTTCTTTCTCTGCATCCTCTCTCTGGAATAAGCTTCGACTATAATAAATTCATCTAAAGGATATTTTCAAAACACTGTATTTTTAAACAAACTCTAAGTGTAAACTTCGCCTTTATCATTGTTCAAAACCATAAATTATGTAATATCTGTAGGCCTGTGAAATTTGTGACCAAATGTATCAATTCATTTTTTGAATTGGCACAAGTTGTAATTTGTTTATTATTATTATTATTATTATTATTATTATTATTATTATTATTATTATTATTATTATTAGGCCTATTATTATTAGGCCTATTATTATTATTATTAGGCCTATTATTATTATTATTATTATTAATGTCGTTGTTATTGTTATCATTATTATCATTAAAATAAAGCAAAGTATAGCAAGCAAAGCATTAAAGCATGTAAAGTAATTCTTTGAAAAGTGAAATAGACACTCAGTATATGTCTTTATGTTTAAAAAAAAACTTTATCAATTTTAAATGATAGGAATGGAATGGCAGATTTATAGCTGAGCAGTCATGCGCTATAAAGTGCCCATCAATAGGTGGTCATTTGGCGGGAACGAAAACAGTTCAGCAAGCACTTTCTGAACCAGGTGTCATTGAAAGGTACATTGATGACCCGGAAGCAGTTGTTCGGATTCGCAATACATTCTGTAAATTATATTCACTTGATCTAGTGAGTTACCATTGAAGATTTATTTTAGTTCAGAGTTTATTATCACTGTTTTCCAATAGCAATACCACCTTTATCAACTACAAATTTTATTCGAAACGCATATATGCTGTAGTTGTATAATAATTTTATAATTATACAAAATTAGCTTGGGATGAAAAAAGTCCTTTCCATTAGAAAAAATCTTCAATGAAATTTGTACATAATTTTTTATATATTCATACTTTTAGGGACCAAAAGGAGACCATGCTGTGGATATTGCTATTAATAATCGAGAAAAGTTTGTTCTTAAACCAAACAGAGAAGCTGGAGGTAACTAATCAGATATTAACTTACCCCGGTATTCTTAAAACGAACTTTAGTCGTAGTTCGAGCTAATACTTTAAAATTACGTCATTTCGTATTCTTAAAACGAACTTCGACTAGCACTACGACTAAATGACGTGAACCTCGACTAAAATGATACCTCCGCAGGCCGATTTTTTAGTCAGCCTAGGGTCAGGCTAAATCGCTCAACTATAATAGTTCTCCAAAGAAAGCAAATTTCCAGTGTCTGTTTAAATTCTCTATTGTAATATGTTAACAACTAATATAGTTATTATTTTAGAAAATTAATTAATGGAATGATGGTCTATTATGAATTATGAGGAAATACGTTTTTGAACCACAGACGGCAGCCTAATATTGATCCGCGTTACCGGATCTCTAAAATTTCGTCTGCTATTAAAGTTATCCCTTTTCATTGGTTAGTTTGGTAGTCGTGGCTTGCCAGTCGTCTTCAGTTGAACTAAAATTAGGACTTGATTTAGTCGTAGTTAAAACTTCGACTACATTGTTTGTGAATACAAATTGAAGTTAAAGATACAACTAGCTCTAAATGAAGTTCTAGTTCGAAGTTCGACTAAAGTTTGTTTTAAGAATACGAGCGTTAGTGTTATCTATTAAAAGGCTAACGTAATACACTGAATAACTAACTGTATGCCGAGAAAAAAGTAGGATAATATTGTTTTTAATAAGCTTCTTATTTACTAACATTTTAGGTAACAACCTGTTTGGAAATGAAATTTTCAAAAAGCTGACCGAATTTAAGGACTCACCAGAACGCACAAAATATATTCTGATGGAAAAGATAGTGCCAGTAAAGGTCAAAGGGTATTTAGTAAAACAGTTGAAACCAGCAGTAACTTTACAGGAGTTGAGCTATGAACTCGGCATTTTTGGAGCTGTAGTGGGGTGAGAATCTAAACAGATTAGAAATTATGTTTGATGATATATTTTTGCATGTGTTTTTGAGTAAAATCTACATTTGCATACATACCAGTATGCTAGACAATAATCAAGCAATTATAATTTACATTCACAGTAACAACAATGGAATAGTCCATAACCGGCAAATAGGACATCTTCTGCGCACCAAGCCTGCCGAAGCAAATGAAGGATCATTATTGGCAGAAACTGCCGTGATGGATTCTCCTTTTCTGACCTCATGAATACTTCAGTCATATGAATTAGCCTATCTGGGAAAGATTTATTTTTAAAGAATAGCTTCTTAAACATATTTTCTTCGGTAAAATCTGTTACAGAGATCGAATATTTCAGTAAAACACACATGAATATAACTCAGCTAAATGGATTTTTACAACGCCAAATCCTTATTTATTGAATGCCAATTTAGGGGTCTGATTAAAGCATATAAACTGTATTACTTCGCCTTTAAGCAAGGAAAATATTAGGCAGAATATCTTTGATCAGACGATATTATTGCAGATGAATACCTTAAGCTAAAATAATAATGGACCTTTCCACTAAGCCCCAATCCAATCCAATCCAATCTTCGATTTATATATTGTTGTTGTTATTGTATATTGTTGCTAAGGTCTCACAAAAAGACAGTAGGTAGTTTTCGCCGCACGACTTTAACCTTACCGTTAACGGATGACGTCATAATTTAATCATCTTGCGTTGCGGAGTACGTTAAATCCAGGATTTTAGGTGCTCGACGTACGTTAGTTACGGGTTTGCGCATGCGTATTTCGATTTGTTTACAAAAAGGGGCGGAGCTATCGCGTTGCATGTTGGGTACTAACGTTAAAGTTAAGGTCAACGTCCTGCGGCGAAAACTACTCATTACTGTAGTATAAAAACATACGCAACGCGTGGTTTGTGGGACAACCATAGAGATATAATGAGAATACTCGAGCGCTAACCGCAATATATTCGATGTTCGAAATACTCAGAACTGTGTGTGTGTGCCATCCAAGATGGCTGCCATAGATTTTGCCAATCAAATTTCGCTGAGCACCATCGTTTGCAATTGCGCCCTCAATTTACTCAGAAAGTTCAGTACAGCTAGTTACCCGTATGTTTGAAACTCGAGCGTTGCGGTGTTTGGGTGTAATGTACACGATTTTAATTTTCATTCCTTCTTACTTTTTAATAAGATGCTCCACTTGGCCTCGTTTTGGCTACAATAGTTTAATAATTTGTTATTACTCATTATCATTAATGAAATAATAGTCAGTCAGAGGGCTTATTAATATGCAATAATATGTTACTAAGCCTGAAGTTGGCGCTTTACTACGACGGCCATCTTGGATGGTACACATCAATCAAAATCAATCAAAATTAACATTTATTTCCTTCAAAACGTAAATTACAATATTCATTGAAATGTAACATATAAATAACATAAGTATTGAAGGGGGCACAATTCCGAAAAGCAGAGCTTGTGATGGATGTGCCCAAGACAATTAACAACACATTAACGAGAAAAAAGACAAACATTTAAAAGGATAATAATAATAATAATGATAATAGAGCATTTCAAAATATAAATGAAAAATTATTATGAAAAACATACATAATAGGAATTATAAGGGAAAAAAAACTAAAGCTACTGTTAAATAGTAAAATATCAATCAACATATGGAAAATTATTTAATCAATAATATTATTGATTAAATAATTTTTCACTTTAGAAATGAAGATTTTTTTGGATGGTGCATCAGAAATGTTTAGAGGGAGCGATTTCCATATTTTAGGTCCAGTATATCTAATATTATGTTGAACTGAAGTTTTTTTGTGTTTGGGAATGTGGAGTTTGAGATTCTGGTACTATAGTCATGTAATTCATTATTGGGTGCAAATATAGAACGTAAGTGAGATGGAAGAATGGAGTTTAAGCTTTTATATACAAAAGAACACTGTTGAAGTGTATTAAGATCTTTAAGTTTTAGTAGTTTTAAAGAATAAAATAAGGGATCAGTACTAGTTTTTAGTGGGACGCTAGAGATTATTCGTATGATTTTGTTTTGGAGTGTTTAAAGTTTAATTAGATTAGATGGAAATATGTTACACCATACAATATTGCAGTATGACAAGTATGGAAGAACAAGGGAACAATAGAGAGTACGGAGGATATTATTGGGAAGAAATGATGCCAATCTATATATTATACCAATATTTTTTGCAATTTAAAAAGGAAGGTTGTAAACACTTGTTAGTGCGCATGCTGTCTCTTATACACATCTAGATGTGTATAAGAGACAGGAATTTAGAGTGATCAACCAAAGGAAAAACATAATCATTGAGTTTGATCTGCAGCTGACCTAGTTCAATTGGCTTTTGGGTACTCCTAAACAATACATAGTTGCACTTCTTTAAATTTATAGTGAGGCAATTTGCCAGAAACCATTCGGATAATTCTCCCAAGCTTGCATTCACTATACGAAATAATGATTCTAAATTTTTACTTCTACAAAATATAGTCGTATCATCCGCATATAAAAAGAAGGATAATAATGCTGAAGAATTATAAATATCATTTATATATAAGAGAAACAAAAGGGGGCCCAAGAGAGAGCCCTGAGGGACACCGCAACTAATAGGCAAGTAATCAGATTGTGAGCCACCATACGTTGTGCATTGGTAGCGGTTAGTCAAATAACTCCTAAAAAGATCGTGAGGAACTCCACGGATACCATAGTGATACAGTTTAGAGAGTAGGATTGAATGGTTAATAGTATCGAGCGCTTTTGATAAATCAATAAATAAACCTATTGCAAACATATTGTTTTCAAAAGCATCAACGATTTCGTTGGACAAGTCGATTAATGCCATAGATGTGTCAAACTTTTTACGAAACCCAAATTGCTTATCAAAAAGGATATCGTTTTTTTAAATAAAAGCATACGTTCTATTGTAAATAATACGTTCTAATATTTTGGAGAATGCAGTAAGAACAGATATTGGTCGGTAATTGGACAATGAATCCTTCCTACCCATTTTGAAAATAGGGGAGACTCTCGCTAATTTCAATTGATCTGGGAAAACCCCATTTTTTAAAGATAAATTAAATATATGGCAAAGAGGTTTAACTAAAAAATAAATTGATTGTTTTATAACTTTTGGGCTAAATTCGTCCAAGTCCCTGTGCTTTATTAGTTTTAAAGCATTAACAATGTCTATAATTTCAGTGTCCGATACTGGAAGCATAAACGATGAATTCAGGGTAGGTTGAGGTAAATATTTATTAAATTCGGGTCGGTTTGTCGGCATTTTATTAGAAAGGGTTGGGCCTATTTCAACAAAAAACTTATTAAACGCATTTGCGATTTCAGTTGAATCTTTCATAGGTTCACCGTTATCATCTATTATTACATCAGTGTTTGTGTTCGAAGACCTTTTCATCAATGTATTAATTATACGCCATGTCCATTTGATATCGATCTTACACTGAAGAAATCTGTTTAAATAATAATCAATTTTAACACGTTTTAAGAGGTAATTTAAAGTGTTACGAAATTCACTGTACTTAATTTTGTTTCGTTCGGTTGGATTACGTAAATATGTTGCATACAATTTTTGTTTATATTTAATAGATTGTAATAGACTATCAGTCATCCATGTTTTTAATTTTTAATTTTTGTTAGTTTGAATTTTTTTTGGAAAATGTTCATTATATATAACTTTTAATTTGGTTTCAAATTTTGAATAAGCTTGGTTTACGTTTTGGAGTATACTCACTTCATCCCATGAAGTTTCACTAAGTTCTTCTTTAAAACGTTCAATATTGTTTGCATTAATTTGCCTATAAGGTTTGTTCTGTAGTACATTGGTTGATTGAGTGGTTTTGTGTGTCAGTGAAGATATGGAAAAAACAGGTAAGTGATCTGAAATGTCACAATAAAGTTGGCCACTCGCAAGTGGTAAATCAAGCTGATTGGTCAGTATATTATCAAGTAGAGTAGCAGTTGTTGACGTTATTCTAGTAGGTCTTAGTATTAACTGTAAATAAAAATTGCAAAAGAGAGTGTTAACAAAATGTTGTATTGAATTTTCGGAGGTATATTGTAAAATATCAATATTGAAGTCACCAATCAGAAATACCTGCTTATTTTCATTTGCAAGGGTATGACAAAGTTTGTCAAGGGTATCATTAAAGGCGTTAACGTCCAAAGACGGAGCCCGGTAAAATGTCCCTATGATAATATTTTTCCCATGCTTTAGTTTTATTTCGATGAACAACGATTCACATATTGATTCATCGGTTAATAAGTCATCACGAACGACAAAAGATAATTTGTTTTGCACGTACATAGCTACGCCACCACCACTTTTGGATTGTCTTTTTTTAGATAAGAATGTATATCCGGGGATATTTGTTAGTGGACTATCATCGCTTTTAAGCCAAGATTCAGAAATGGCAATAACATCAAATTCAAACTCAAGTGTTAGAAGAAAACATCTTAAAGAGTCCATCTTACCCAAGAGACTACGTGCATTGAAATGAATACTAGAAAAAAGGTCATCATTATTTAATTTAGAAAAAGTATCAGCAAACTGACTTGGATGAAAATAACTTGATTCATTTATACTATCACTATAAAATTGAAAGTCCGGATCTACATCTTCATTATTGATGATGTTTTCGTAGGCCAGGAAGGGGTTAAATTTTAAATCGGATAGAGTATTTAAATTTTCGGCATCTAAGCTATTAGGATTTGGCATGGTGGGGAGTATGTACATAAATTCGCTCAACTTTTACACTTATTTTTAAATCGTATGCATTCAATGCTAGCACGAAGATAGAAAAAGGTGGGTATATGTACTTTGAAATATAGATAAAGTGTACATCATCCATATGTATAATATCAATAGATAGCATTTAACATGATAGTATATAATATTGCAACAGTAGATGCCAAAATAAAAAAAAATAAAAATAAATAAATAGTAGTAATAATAATAATAATAATAATAATAATAATAACACACACAATAAAAGCACATGGTTCGTAAATAAGTTCGGGCTACTTAATGTGCTATAACAAAAAAAGATACGGTAAGCCATTACTCCGTCAGAGAAATATTAAGTAGAAGTATAGATAAAGTTAATTTTAATCATAATTAATATTATGACATGCTACAAATTAAGTAACAATAGCCAACGAGTTAAAAGAATAGACAATGTCTACCTAGGAGTGGAACAAACCGTTGATGTACAAGTTTCCGTTACGGAAAGACGGCATTTTAACCTCACTATAGGCTAGGGCCATTGTGTCTTTTAGACTTCGTTTTTTTTGCAAGATCCGCTTCGCAAAGATCATCGGTAACAAACAAGTTACTGTTTTTTTAGTAATGCCCTTGCCTTCGTAAAGACTTGATGACGGGGTTTACCTGTCCGGTGGGCGTTCTCAATCATAACTTCCGGAATATTTAACTTATTTTGGATCAAATCTTTAATCTTCTCGACAGCATTTTCGTTTCTTTCCTCCGGTAAGCCACCAAAACGCAAATTAAACGATCTTGAATATCTTTCGAACTTGTTGAGTTGTTTTTGCAGCGACATACAGCTTGATTTTTTCGGTTTCCACAGTAGACGATACTTCTTTAAGCTCA